GCACTTAACCACCAAGCCACAGGGCCGGCCCTCAAGGATTCAGTATCTTAGCATCTTAGATTTTAGTAGTGTAGCTCAGCCCTGCCCAATAGAAATATAACGTAAGTCACATATGCAATTTTGAGTTTTCCAGTAGCCACAATTTAGAAAGTAAAACAGGTGAAATTAATTTTAATAATATATTTTATTTAACTCAATATATCCAAAATATCATTTCTACATGTAATCAGTATGAAAATTATTGAGATATTTTACATTCTTTTTACCATACTAAGTCTTTGATATCCAGTGTGTATTTTACACTTACAGCACATTTCAATTTAGACACTAAATATTCATCAGAAATGCTTGATCTGTATTTAGATTTCATAAAATTTACAGTTGAAAAAGTAGATTTTTTTTGTGGGGAGGAAGATCAGCTCTGAGCTAACATCCAATGCCAATCTTCCTCTTTTTTGCTGAGGAAGATTGGCCCTGGGCTGACATCCATGCCCATCTTCTTCTACTTTATATGGGACTCTGACACAGCATGGCTCGACAAGTGGTGTGTCGGTGTGCGCCTGGGATTCGAACCTGCGAACACTGGGCTACCAAAGCAGAGCATGCACACTTAACCAATGTGCCACCAGGCCGGCGCCGAAAAAGTAGATTTTTAAACCCAAGTTGTTCCAAATATAGTTAAAAGTTTATCAATAACTGAATTTAGTATCAGTTTTTAAATTTAAATTAATTAAAATTAAATGAAATTTAAAATTCGGTTCCTCATTTGCACTAGCCACATTTCAAGTGCTCAGCAGCCACCTGTGGCTAGTGTCTACCATGTTGGACAGCACAGGTCTAGACTGTTAGAGCAAGGTGGGATCTTGGATCGTCCAGCCCAATTTCCCATTTAACAGATAAAATCAAGGTCCAGAGAGAGGAAAAGACCAGTCCAAAGTCGCTTGCTGATAAGTACTGGGGAGGGTATTAGGAGTTGAGAAGGCTGAGTTCTGGCTTCGCTTCTTCCCTTACTAGCTGAGTGACCATACACAAATAATTATATTGCATGGAGCTTTCCACAGATGGATACTGCCCTGCCCTACTTCAATCAGAGGGGAGTTACGAGGATGGAATTAAATAATGGATGTGAAAGAGGCTTATAAATGGTGAGACTACATAAAACAAGAGATCTTCACTTCAGAGTCCTTTTCCATTCATCATGCCTCTGCTTCTTGGTACTGTATAAATATTAGCAAATCAGGGCCGGCCCCGTGGCTTGGTGGTTAAGTGAGCGCGCTCCACTGCTGGCGACCCGGGTTCGGATCCCGGGCTCGCACCGACGCGCTGCTTCTCTGGCC